TCCCTCAGGGAGTTTGGATGTGTCCATGGGGCTTCCATGACCTTTCATTGTACAAGTTGTGGTAGTTTCAAAGTACCTGTTTCTTGAATGGTATTCTCTATTCCTAGAGGGGGAGCCTAGGGAAGGGCTAATTCAGCCTTACATGATGTGACAGGTTCGGTCTGTCTTAATAGTGGAACCTTGTTATGGGAGAGATTCTGAGTGCATGCACACAAACGCACACATGAGCCAACAGACGCACGGGCCTACACATTCAGTCCCTCACACAAGCTCACTGTTCACAGCAGGGAAAGAGAAGTCAAGCGTGGGCCATACTCAAGGGAGAAAGAGCAACTAGTCCCACATGCTGAGTGCCTAATTCAAGGACACTAAAGGACAATATGTCAACCAGGGGATAGAAGAGTGTGGCGGGTGTGGGACGAGGATGGAACAGCCCAACAGGAATGGAGTTGATGTTTAGGGCATCCATGCAGCCCAGGGGCACATGTGCCCCTTTGTGAAAGGTCATGCGCTGCAATGGAAACTCCAGCCAGTTCAGGTGGAGAAAGCCCTTGCTGACGACCCTACTGTTAAAGGCAGAGTGGCAGGCAGCTACTGGGCAACTATAAAACTAAAGTTGACATCATCACACAACAGATCAGCTGTAGTTTTAAATCTACCCATTTTTTTAAAAAACTGTGCTTTAGATGAAGGTTTACAGAGCAAATTAGTTTCTCATTAAACAATTAATACACATATTGTTTTGCGACATTTGTTGCCAACCTTGTGACATGTCAACACTCTCCCCTTCTCGGCCTTGGGTTCCCCATTTCCATTTGTCCAGCTTTCCTGTCCCCTCCTGCCTTCTCATCCTTGCCCCTGGGCTGGTGTGCCCATTTAGTCTTGTTTTGTTTTATGGGCCTGTCTAATCTTTGGCTGAAGGGTGAACCTCAGGAGTGACTCCAGTACTGAGTTAAAAGAGTGTCCAGGGGCCATACTCTGGGGTTTCTCCAGTCTCTGTCAGGCCAGTAAGTCTGGTCTTTTTTTGTGAGTTTGAATTTTGTTCTACATTTTTCTCCAGCTCTGTCTAGGACCTTCTATTGTGAGCCCTGTGAAAGCAGTTGGTGGTGGTAGCCGGGTACCATCTAGTTGTGCCTGGACTCAGTCTGGTGGAGGCTGTGGTCATTGTGGTCCATTAGTCCTTTGGACTAATCTTTCCCTTCTATCTTCAGTTTTCTTCATTCTCCCTTGTTCCAGATATAATGAGACCAGTGGAGTATCCTAGATGGCTGCTCACAAGCTTTTAAGACCCCAGATGCTACTCACCAAAGTAGGATGTACAACATTTTCTTTATAAACTATGTTATGCCAATTGAGCTGGATGTCCCGAGATCATGGTCCCCACAGCCCTCAGCCCAGTAATTCAGTCCCTCAGGGAGTCTGGATGTGTCTATTAAGCTTCTATGACTTTGCTTTGGTCAGGCTGTGCTGACTTCCCCAGTATCACATACTGTCTTACCCTTTACCAAAGTTACCACTAATCTATTGTCTAGTGAGTGTTAAATCTACCCATTTGTAACCCCCAAGCTATCGAGCTGTATTTGCAAAAGCTGTGGTCGTGGTACATGAACGCTCTCCTTCCCACGGTAGTGTGCAGGTGTGTGTTTGTGTGTGTGTTGGGGGTGGTGGTGGTGGTTGTTTTTTAAGTAATAAAATGAAGGCATGCTGAATCCTCTATGCTCGCAGGGAAAAAGCACGGTGCCTCTTCCTTGTGAAGAAGCTTCTAGAGATCAAGGAATGGGACACACTGAGAGAGCATTCAACAATTCCTGGAACTCGATGACTTCCTTAATTAACTGCTTTCTCCACTCACTACTTTAACAGAGCCCCCTGCCAGGCAGAGGTGGCTTTGCAAAGCATCTCTGGAGACAACTGAGCACAGAAAGGGAAAACACAGTGAAACAAATATAGACTTCTTTTTTTGTCCGGCAACATTTATTCTGAGCCATTGAAGAGATCATCAGTATCCACTGGAGAAACAACGAGAGTAATGAAATTAATTTTGGCTCCAAAATATTTCCACCCTTGGAAACGACATAAGCATCTTTCATGGAATGGGTGCACTATATAGATACTAGTTAAATGAATAAATGAACAAATGAATCAGTGAATGAACAACAACAATGAGAAACACTAAAGCTGTGAAGGCATGGTAGAGCCTTTCAGTTTCCACATTTGGCTGTTTTTTAAATAGCCTCCTTTCTTGGTTTGGGTTCTCAGTCTGAGGTTCTGTGGTTTTGCTGCAGAAGGTTTTTTTTGGGAATGCACCTGAAAGGGACTGAAGGAAGCAGCACTGTGCAGACGGAGAAGGTGAACCACAATGCAGGTTGCAAAAGAGGGTTCAGTTGATCTCACGGAAGCACTGAAGCTGGGATGGCCCCTCAGAGTCATCCCAAATGGAGGCAAAGTGGTCAGGCATTTGTACCCCTGTATCGACCAGCCATGGGATACTGGCCACTCCTGCGAAGGGGGCAAACTTGAATTAAGCAGCTCCCTTCAGTGGAAGTGAATTCCCTGTAGGGACTCAGAGGTGGGTGCCCAGAAGTCAACATTCCAACAGCCGGGGTTCACCACAGCATCCACTATACCTCGCCTTCTCATTATCTACACTCAGACTACAAAGGAGAATACGCCTTCACCAAAACAGGTAAAAATAACATCCATTGTATTTACTCTTTACAGGTAGGACATACATACAAGAGATGGGGGTTTTTTCTCTCCCACATGCTCACACTTTTTTGAGGCTAGCAAAGACTCCATTCCAGAGACTTGATTCACATTCAATAATTTGGACTTGTATCGTGGCTCAGGGAAATATATCTTAATTAAAAGAACTTCTTTTCTGCAGCAGAAGTAAGCTGTCATACCACACTGGGGTATTTAAGTAAAGACTCACTGGATAACAGAACCATGGAAAAAAGCACTGAGGTCACCTTGTCTTGTGTCTCAAACTTACCTGCACTATATTTGACAGACAGTCATCCAGTCCCTGCTGAACTTTACTTGAATTTTCCAGAGAAGAAGGTCTGTCCCACTATCGGGCAACTTTGATCGCGAAAATGTTCAGACTTATACTGAACCCAAGTCTACCTCCTTGTAAATTTTATGGCTCCTTCTCCTGGCCCTCGCAGTTACGTAGTGCAAGTTTATTGTATTTTCCCCCGAAGCCCTTCAAGTATCTCTCAACACAACTCATGTCCTCTCTTTACTAGGCTGACCACGTCTAGTCGCCTCGGCCACTCCTCAGATGGTATGTTCTCTAAACCTTCGATCACACTGGTCTCTTTCCTCTCAACACAATCTTCCTCAAAATCCTTTCTTCAAAGGCAATGCCCAGATCTGGACGTAAATGAAGTTGGTGGATACAGCGAAGACCTGTCACGACAGCTTGTCAGGTCTTTGCTGTTAACGTTCCTTTTAGTTTTTAAGGAATCAGTTCATCCTTGGTATGTACGGAAATCTGCAAGGTTCTCAGATCTATCATCAAGGCTAACTATACACGGTCTGCAGAAAGTCCTAAAAGACTCATTCCCCCAAAAGGTGGGGAGATATTTGGGTTTATATTCTTGTTTGCCAAGTGGCCCAGAGACATACAGCTTACTTAAAAAAACAGCTGATAAATTAAAAGTATCAGAATAAGGCTGTAAAATGTTATATCCCATTAATCTGCCAAGAGATTAATTTACACATTTTTATAAAATTGGGACTGCTAATGATCTCTATTTTTCTTTCATCTTTTGCTCAAGCACCCAAGCCCTAACTATAAATTAATCAAACGATTCACGAGTACCCCTTGTGTATATATAAAGAACTATATTAGACGTGTGTGTGTGTGTGTGTGTGTGTGTGTGTGTGTGTGTAAGGGGGGTAGAGAGTGAGAGAGAGAGAGGAGAACCTAATCCAAGAGAGAGACATAGTACACAGGGTGTAGCCCAGTGGTATATATGGGTCATATAACCAGGGCTTCTGACTAAGAAATGGGTTGTTTTACTGGTTCACCAAGTAGCTTCTTTTGGGTCCCATGTCTCCCTTTTCCAACAGTCCACCTTTTATCCCTTCTTCCACACAAGAGAACTGAGATTGTCTTAGAAGAAAAAGGCTCCCTGGTGCTGCTCCGAGGGAGAAGGATGCAGCAGTCTCCTTCCGTAAAGATTTACAGCCTAGAAAATTGTATGAGGCAGTTCCACTGTCACATAGGGTTGCTATGAGTCAGAGTTGACTTGAAGGCAATGGGTTTGTTTTTTTTTTTGTTTGTTGATGTCACTATGGGGTACTGACGAGGTGTCGATTAAATGCCTAGTAAGTTGAAAGGAAGAGTTCCCAGATTTACTATAAATATTAAAAGATCATCTTATATACTGTCATACAGACACACACACAGAGTTACCTGTGTGTATATTTGTGTGAATATACCTGGAAAGCTACATTTTATAACTGAAAGAGAGGTAGTCGAAGAGAAAAGGAAATGGGATAGGTGTCTACGCTGAGGGAACACAGGCACATTGACTTTGTATTATGAGCACGCATTACTTATAAAAAGGGGATAAGAAAGATCTCTTCAAAGGCGACCTTACCATACAGCCACACAGACTTCGTGTGGTTTCTCACAGATGGACGTGATGCTGCAGTTGCTCATACAAGATTTTTGGTTGTCACAGGTGGAAAATCTCACGTCACAAAATTTACACAGTTGCCGCAACTTGAACGCACCGTTGTTGTCCGTGACCATCATGTCGTCGTTAACTGGGGTGAAGAGAAAATACATCCAGTAAGTATTCAACTGCCAGGCGGCCTGCCCATGAATTCCTGAAGATGTTATGCAATTTCAAATAAACTCGATGTCATGAGAATGAATATGGAGAAAGACAAAATAGTTCCATCGTATCAGAATAGAGTTTCTGTCATATATGCAATTTCTAATGAGAGTCACTGTATGGTGCTGTGTATACGTGGGGCGGGCGGAGCTGGAGTAGCTTCTTGCGTTCATCAGTGATTATCATAGGACGCTCTTTTCTACAAAAATCAAGGAACGTACACTGGATCATTGCATAGTACTGGGTGCTGGGAGCACAATGAAAAGCATCCTTAAGGAAATTACAGCTTATCAGGGTAACTAGACAAGGACAGACCAGGCAGAGTAACCCAAAAAATGAGAAGCATTTAGGAGATGTGGGAGCCAGACACGAGCTATGGCTCAGATGGGCAGATAGAGGTCACAACCAAGCAGAGTCATGAAGTACAAACTGAGTCTTCCAGCTGAAAGGAAAAGCCATAGGTGAGGGAGGACTCTGCCATTACTTTCCTGACCTGCACCCAAAGGAGCCAGAAGGGCCTTCTTGGCATATGACTGGCTCTACTGACTTATTTCCGCTGCCGGGAGGAAAATCAGTTGATTAACCAACACTTACTGAGTGCCTCCTAGACATATTCTCAAGCATTGCCCAGGCACTGGGGTCACAAAGGTGAATAAAAGCTAAGTCCCACCTCAAGGATCTGCCTCCTGCTCCCTCTCTGATCTCATCCCTTACTGTTGTTGTTAGGTGCCGTCAAGTCGGTTCCGACTCATAGCGACTCCATGCACAACAGAACGAAACACTGCCCAGTCCTGCACCATCCTCACAATTGTTGCTATCTCTTACTACTCTCCCCCTTACCCCATACTCATTACCTTTTGGGACACGTAGGCCTCTCCTGGGAGAAGCCAAGTTCCTTCCTCTCTCAAGCCTTTCACTCCCTATTCCCTTTGTCTGGCTTCTTCTCACCTTCCTGGTCTCTGGTTAAATGTCACCTCTTCATGCTACAGTAACCTGCAAGTAACTACCATGAGACTCTGAGCAAACTTGCTTATAATCTATCCACCAAAACGTGCTCCATGACCACAGCTCCATGAGACTTTATCAGCCTTGTTTACTCCCTGTGTCTCCAGTCCCCAGAAGAGAACCTGTGACAGTAGAAGGTATCCAGAAATATTGAATGAATGAGCGAATGGATGAATAAATTATAGAATAAACACAAGGAGTTCATATTTGGCCCTTCATACCAGTGGGAAGGCATACAGAACTTCTCCACTCAAATTAAGGACAAGAGTATGATTACAAATGTGATCATTTGTATTCATTCAATAAAACATGGAAGACAGACTATTCTTTGCAACACACATATCGCAAGCTGAGAGGCAATTAAAAAGTTGAATTGTGTCCCCCAGAAAGTTATGTTGAAATCCTAACCCCTGTACCCATGAATGTGGCCTTGTTTGGGGACATAGAGTCCATTTCTGAAGATATTATCAGTTAAGTCATACAGGAATAGGGTGGGTCCTACTCCTAATCACTTCTGAGCAGCGTCTTGTAAAAGGGGAAAACTGACAGAGAGAGTCACACATGGGGGAAGACACCATGTGAGGATCCATATATAAGCCAAAGAATGCCAAGAAATGCCCGGTGCCACCATGAAGGTGAAAGCAACAAGGATCTATTTTTCCGACACAGAGAGAGCACAGACCTGCTAACATCCTGAATTCGGACTTCTAGTCTCCATAACACTGAGAAAATAAATTCCTGTTCTTCAAAGCCACCCACTGTGGTATTTTGTTATGGCAAAAACCAAAAAAACGAAACCCATTGCCGCTGAGTCGATTATGACTCATAGCAACCCTACAGGACTGAGGAGAACTGCCCCATAGGGTTTCCAAGGAGCGCCCAGTGGATTTGAACTGCTGACCTTTTGGTTAGCTGCCGAGCTCTTAACCACTGTGCCAATAGGAAACTAAGATAAAAAGGTGTAACCTGTCATTCCCCGTCCTTTTCTTCAATGAAATCCATTGTCGTTGGCAATGATGATAATTCAAGATATGAGTTTGGAGAGTCAAATGAAGGAAGATAAGGCTACATTAAATGTGAATTAAATGACTGCATTAGACTAAGAAAGACTGGGAGCCCTGGTGGCGCAGTGGTTAAGAGCTACAGCTGCTAACCAAAGGGTCTGCAGTTTGAATCCACCAGCCGCTCTTTGGAAACCCTATGGGGCAGTTCTACTCTGTCCTATAGGGTCACTATGAGTCAGAATCAACTTCAAGACCACATGTGGCACTAGACTAGTCGCTGGCCATTAGGATGTTGGGAATGTGCCTCCCCAAGGGATAACCACTGGAAGAGCATGAAAAAAAACCTCCTCATCTTCCCCATTTAAGTGTGTGCCTTCCTGATCCCAGGGGAAGTTTTCAGTGCCCTTACACAGTCACCCCCGTCCTGTGAAACTTAGATTTCTGTCATTGATACTGTACTCTGCCATGCCACCTCTTTGTCTACTGAGCACAGCACCTGCTTTCTGCGTCTCTAAAAATATAAACATATATAAACTTAAGATTTGCTTTCTTGTGGCAGCATTAAATATAGAAGAGAAAAAAAAAAAAATAAACCCATTCATCCCTCTCAGACATCAAGTTCATTTCAGGAAGTGTATTTTTAGGTAACAAACTATTTTGAAATCCTCACTGTCTCCCAGGCCAAGAGCTCTCTGCTTAGCTAAAAATACAGGCAGAAATGTTCTCTGAACCTTGTGTTAAATTTGGGACTAACACAACAATGAAAATATATTTTTTTCTATGATGGTTAGAGTTGGATCCGTTTGCAAAACAACTAACTTAACCCTTTAGGTTTCCCTACGAGGCATTTGCCGAAGTACAATGAAGTTGGGCCATTTTTTGTTTATTTATTTGATATGTAGTAGGTTTCAGACAAACACGTATTTGCTGGTTAGGCAGCTTTGTTGTTTTTAAATATAAAATCAACCTCCATGTCTTGGAATCCAGCCTTCCAGTATTTTAGGATTTTAACATAGATCAGTGGTTCTCAACTTTGGCGCCGTGGTGGTGATTACCTAGGGAACTTTAAATAATAAGGAAGCCCGGATCCCACCGCCTGATGAGCAGATTGTTCTGGAAGGTGCCCTCGGGCAGCAAAGAAGTCCCCCAGGTGATTCCCATGTGCAGTCACGGTTGACAACCCTGACCTAGAATTAGTTGAAAAAACCCAACAACAAAAACCTCCCAGGCATGTGCGAACACACAGCCTATTTGACGGTGCAGTGGTAGCCCCTCAATACGGCTGGAAGAACTTTCCCCATGAAAAACATGCCCCAAAAGAGATGTGACTAGCCGTTTTACACCTCCGATGGGAAGAAGCCCTTTTCCAGACTGGCCAATCCTTTCCTAGCACAAACCAAGCTGTGTGACAGAAGCGACGGGGCAGGAGTAATGAGGAAGAAAGAAAACCCCATGAGAGTGGGGCTGGAAGCAGCAGTGGCAGTCACAGATGTGTTGACAAGTATAAGTGGTTTAGGTCTGATGCCTGCAAAAGACCAAGAATCAACAGTGAAGAGACAAAAGGAATGTAATTAAAGGGGGGAGGGACTATCAAGCTGCACAACTCTAAGGGGCGTCAGTTCCACTGCAGTTTGGGTAAGTGATGCTCTGGAGAAGCATCTGTAGATGCATGATGTGTGCTGCCTTACGAGAGGCCCTGAAGAAGAAAACCTCTGCATTGAATTTTGGGAAAAAAGGCAAACAGCCAACTGTAGCCTGTGCTTTAGTGATTGGAGGCATCAGGGATGTGCACAAAGACATTTATTGAGCACTACTATGTGTAGGGAAACCCTGGTGGTGTAGTGGTTAAGAGCTATGGCTGCTAATCAAAAGGTTGGCAGTTCAAATCCACCAGGCGCTCCTTGGAAACTCTATGGAGCGGTTCTACACTGTTCTATAGGATCACTATGAGTCAGAATCGACTCGACAGCAGTGGGTTTGGTTTTTGGGTTTTTTTTTTTTTTCTTTTACTGTGTGTACAGAAGGTGCCTAAGTTATACATAATGTCCTCGGTAGCCAGGGAGGGAGGTCTAATTTTTCTCCTTGTTACAGCAAAAGCTATCACTGCTGAGGCCAGCAGGCTTATTTAGCATGACCAGCATTTTCTAGATTTGAGAACCTTTATACAGGGTATAACCCAGTGCCATTGAGTCGATTCCAACTCATAGCGACCCTATAGGCCAGAGTAGAACTGCCCCATAGAATTTCCAAGGAGTGCCTGCTGGATTCGAACATGTCAACCTTTTGGTTAAGCAGCCATAGCACTTAACACTACAGTATATTCAGTGTAACTCACCACCCGTCAGCTGCTCCCCCTTAGCTGACCTGAAGCCTCCCCACCTTAACACTTCCCCCACTGGCCCCCGAAGGCATGTACATTTCCAACCCTTGCTTTGAGCCTGGGTTCTCATTCTACTACACAATACGGGCCCGTATTCCCTTCCCACTACCCGAACTGTGCATATGAGTATGGGTGGGATTTGGTGGGATCAGGAGTTAACTTTAGAGGGCAAAATGACTCTTTACCTTTTTTGGGCTCATCCTTTACTAACTTTGATAGAAGCTTGATGAATTCACTCCTGAAAACAACATACATACAAACTTTTGCTCATAGCTTCTGAGGGTTCGCAGATGCCCCCAAAGTGGATAAGCCCAAGTTGAAGAATCCAAGGCCTAGGCCAGAGTCCTCCAGGGCCACTGATAACATGCTTAGAGTACACTGCTAATCACAGTGGGGCAGAGGACCAGTGGGAGCAGGTGGAAAGATGGTCATTCACCGTATGTACAATTGCATCTCTGCGTTCTACTCCTCAGGGAAAGATGGTACCAGGCATAACCCGGGTATCGAACACCTCCTGGTATTTAATACGTAACATCTGTG